CTTGGGACGGGGAGGCCTCCGGCAGCCCCGAGACCCCACCGTGCCGCAGGTGAAGCTGGATGTCCGCAGTGGAAGTGAGCTCAGTGCTTTCTGTGTCAGCAGCCGCGCCACAGGTGCTTTTCTCCCCTCCCGTTCTTTGCTCTTTTTTCCTTCCTGCCCAAACCGGCTGCTTTTCCCGCGGTCCGTGCATCCCGCGACGCCCCTCGTGCGGTATTCCTGCATGGAGCGTTTCCCTGGTGCGTGTATAGGGCTGGAGTAGGCAGATTGGCCCAAGAAACGCAGCAAATGCGCTGTACATTTTTTTGACTAGCAGCAGAGAAGATTTATCTTTCTGTAGCACAAGTTCTGCCTAATAGGCGAACAGAAATCTCACAGAAACAAATCTAGCTAGAAGTTTTCATTTAGTTTAATGTACTTCTAATCAAGACTGGATAGGAAAGCACCACAAATAGTCCTTTTTTTAAATGGAGACTTTTTTAAAAACAAGCATAGTTTATTAACAGCCCAGTACAATACGGATTCAATCTAGATTGTTACCTTTAGGAGAGAATGGATGAAAGTTGAAGAAAAAGCATATTTTGTTGAGAGAACTGCCTGAAAGTTGAAATGGGAAAAGAAATTCCATGTATTATAGATATCTCCCCATGATATAGATGTCTTTTCTGTCAATTATATCCTTGGGGTTTTCTTTTTCTGAATAACCTACTAAAATTAAGGGGTTTTTATGTTCTACTTTTAATATATTAATATAAAAATGTATTATCTTTATAAAATTGCATTGGATTATTGAAAAACAAGTGTCATCTTCCAGATCTTTCTGTGAGAAGCTCTTATGAAGAAATTAGGGAGGTAACTTTAAATTATGGTGGTTTTCAGTATAAATGACATGAAATACTTCAACGGTGGCCCTTTTTGGGCTGGACCCTCTGTGCATGCATGACAGAAAAAAGCTTTGAAGGGACAACAGGTTGTGTAGACAACATTGTCTTAGTATGATAGAAGTACACCGAGGCAATAATGGTGCTCTTGAGCGTTCCCGTTTTCCTTGAGAACCTTGTGCTTGGTGGGCATTTGCCACCATGAATCTGAATTGTACCTGAGTGTGTTTGTCTGCTTGAATCCTGAAATACACCACTAGTACAGGTTGACAGACTTTGTATTAGAATAAAGTTTTATGCCTGTATTATATCAGGTCTCTAAATCCATTGAGGGTCTTCAGATATTTCGGTAAGATCTTTTTTTCCTTTTCCCTGCTCACTCCCCATCCATTTTCTCTTGCAAGTCCTTTCACTTCCTTTTTTTTTTTCCTTTTTTTTTTTTTTTAACTTCCATTTATACATTTTTGTTTTCTTAATATTTTACCTGTAAATTAATCCTATATTGGTGTAAACCGCCAGCCAATCTTTTGGAGCCACCAGTAATAAAGGTCTGTTGGTTACTGTCCTGCAGTAAAATGGGACTTTGTCTATAGGCAAAGATGGGGTAGGAAATGAGTCTGAGAATTTTAAGTTCTCAAAAATATGGGCAGTAGTGTGTAGAGCCTCTAAGAGGGACAGTGTATTCAGCTGTTATACCTGTATACCTCAAGAAAAATTACCATTAAACAGAGTCCCTTGATATTCCATTAATACTGGATATTTTGTCTGTAGATACTGAACTGTAGCAGGAAATGCAGCCCTTTGGAAAACACAGGCAGGACATAAGTTGCTGTTCCTAACTTTGACAGGATGTGGTAAGTGCTGATCTTTGTGGTCTCAGCCATCCAGACTAGAATAAGGTAGTATTTTACAGGTGATTACATGTGTGTCTCTGGTATATTCAAGAGAAGGTAACAAAAATCTTGCAAACTTTATATGAAAGATGAAAAAGTACCTGTGTGTGGGGGGTAGTTACAAGGAAACATCAGGGGAATAATAAACAGTATAAATTAATGAAGAAAATAAAGTTTCTGAAAAGCTTTTGATATTTAAAATTGTCCCTGTTCAAATGTGTGGCAATCTTAAATATCAAAGTTATATATGAAAGGCAGAATGCAGTCAACTGTGCAAGTCTTAGCATTTCAGACTCCAAGACAGTCTGTTTTAGGTTTTCATGAACTGTGGAAGTTGGAAGCTCAGTGTTAGACTTCACTTCCTGGGTCTCCTGGCTTGCTCAAGAGACCCTAGGAGAGAATTTCTGTAAATAACTTTGTCACTTTTGGCTTTGATGAATGGTCCTTATGGCAGAAAGTTCTGACTTTTTTTTCCTCAAAAAAATTTCCAATAAACAGTTTCCTAGAATCCTGACTTACTATGCTTACCTTGTAAGTATATAGCTTTAATTGTAAAAGCTCTAATACTAATTGTATTTCAGTATTTTTGGTCTGCAAATTTGTACTGACCAAAGCAGGTACACAAACAGATTTCAAATTCCATCTTCAACCATTCAGCTGTGAGAATGTCAGTAATTTAGTGAAAAACAGTGGCTTGCCTAGAAAACTGGTTTGAAAAATCTTCTTAAACTTAAGTGAAAATTGGCTTTTGAAATAGCAATAAGTGAGTCTTAAAACTATCTGGGACCGTGGCAATATCTGTATAAATCTAAGATGTAGGTAATGTATTCACACGGAAGAAAATTCTGTCAACAATCTAACAATCTGTGTTTTCTTCTGCTGTCTTTGCCTCTGGCAAAGCTGTTACCTGATGTGCAAATTAGTTGGCTTATACCTTATATTTTAATGCTGGGGCAGTTTACCCTAATATTTTTATATCAGATACATTAGATTTTAATGCTGGGACAATTTACCTTAATGATAATCCTTCTACAAAATTTGTTGACAAAGTTTTAAGGATCAATAATTGAAAAGCTGGGGTTTGTTTTTTTTTGTGGTGATGGTTTGTTGTTTTTTTTGTTTGTTTTGGGGTTGGTGGTTTTTTTTCCATTAACCTGCATCTTTAGATAAAACAATGTAATTTTCTTCCATCTAGCTCGGTCAGAGATGACTGCTGCATAAGTCCCTTTTTCACACAACACGTCTCAGTAGGTAGCAGTGGCTGCCCCAGTGCTCCGGGGCAGTGTTTGTTTTCAGTTATTTAATGGAACAGAACCCTGGAACGGTCAGTGAAAGTACTCGGCTTTAGCACAGGAAGCTTAAACCTTGGCGTTTTATTTTTTTTTAGCAGTAGGCCAATGAAGAAGAAGAATTCTGTTCTCCTCATTTGTTGGTTGGTTAAAGTATCTAATTGACCTAAAATACAGCTCGTTTGGTTACAGCTTCCGGGAGAAGCTGCGGGGAACTGGACAGTGGTTCGTTTCACGGAAGTGACATGAGAATCCTTTTCCAAGGGCTCAGTCCTGGGGGATATAAGCGCTGCAGCCGCTGGCGGCCGTGACAGTGACCCGTGAGCTGACC